TGAGCTAGGAGCTTCCTCCCAACCTGACCACAATTTATGTCCCCGGGACCCAGTATATAACGGTAGACCCAGCGTCGGATTAATGGCTACTGTTGCCGGCACACGAACCCCATCTTATTAAGCTCATAATAGAGCAATTAGCGAAATAATTCTTTTTGCCTTTAATTACAAGAAAGCCACGTTAAAGAATGCGCAGAGCGTTGAGGGGGGACGAACGGGAGAAGACATTTACAATCCGCTAGCCGTAAGCTTTGCGGGCTTATTACCATGTGATACTGAATAAATTATAAGTTTTTTTTTAAAGGGAAATAATTTGGTTTGTTTAAATTAAAGGGAAATAAGCAAGGCAATAACTCCATTACCAAGATTTATTTTGCGCTGCGTTGTTGATATTTTAAACAATTAAGTAGCAGGTAATTAATTATTATTTTTTTTGTGTTAAATTATGAATGTTTTAATGTATATGGCTCTAAAAAAAGACTAAGTTCATGGAGAAAATGTCGACTTAGTAATTTTAATACCAGATCAGTTTAAGATAGTTTTAAATAAGATGCAAGCTCCAATTAGAACGTTGATGTTAGTTCAGTTCTAAATGGCCTTTAATTTAACTTAACTCAGAATATAATTTTACTTTGTGAAAGTCAACAGTTTTTTAAATTATATTTCCTTTAAGACGCTTCGTAATGTGGTGAAGTCTTTAAATGCTAGCGTTTTGCAAACTACATCCTTATATATATATATATATATATATATATATATATATATATATATATATATATATATATATATATATATATATATATATATATATATATATATATATATATATATATATATATATATATATATATATATATATATATATATATATATATATATACACACCGTAAGGAACAAACATAACTTTACTTTACAGAACATATTTATCTATTGTTAAACTGATGGATAGAACAAGACCTTAGACCTAAGTCTGTGAACTAAAATGTTCACGTTTCACGGGCAAGTAAATAAAAACATAACTCTTGCTCTTAGCAAATACAGAAACAAAACAGAAAAAAACAATTTTATAAACTGTTCCTGTCTATCGCAGCCGATGCTAATGTTAGGGTTTTGGTTACTGTTTAGTTAGTGTTTAGTAGTTTAATGAGTCTCTGGCTCCAGAACAATGGCACAAGACATCTTTCAAGCGCTAACCATTTGTCTTTAGTAAGAGTATATTTTCCAAGACAGCGTTAACTACAGTCTACACAAGAGTTTGTCGAAAGTCATTCTGGGAAAAGTTTTTCAAATTCATGAATCAAGTCTGGGGAATTCGTTTATATTTTTTAAAAATATATTTTCCTAAAAATAAAAAATAAATGTTTACCTGTTATATTCTATTTTTGTTAATATTTTTAAACACGGTAACATGTTATATTTTTCTAATTTTTTTTTGCTGACAAAAGAAAATGAAGTAATAGACTGTTGGCCATTGAACTGGATAAATAGCTAAAGCTTGCTTTGGTTGTATATAAACACTTGAATTTTTTAAATCCGAAAATCTTTTCTTCTAAATAACAATAAAATATTTAAAAACCTATTTTGTCATTTATTTTTCTTACACAAATTTCAACGGAAAATTCTTTTTTTAAAATCCTAAACAAATAAAAAATATATAAAACTTGATTTAATTCTAAAACCTTCAACTTAAATAAAAAATGTAAGCAAAACATTGAGTTTCATAAAAGCTTTATTACAACATTAAGACCACTAAATTCACCGCAATTTTAAGTTCTTAATGTAGCTTAATGTATGGCACGCCGGTACTCAAAGAGGATACTAAAATGTTTATTGCTAGGGTTAAGTTCGCTAACAAGGGTCACGAAGTCAAGACCACCATTTGTTTTCACACACACGCCAAAAAAAAAAAAACTTTATTAAGGAAAAAAAACTGACCACTGGCCAGTTAAACATACTATAAACTGTCTGAGATTTATGATTCGCCTCCCAGGGTGCAGCGACCCGGGAAACGATACACTAGAGGAATTCAGACCTTCAAAGGAAAGCCCGTCGGACCGCGGGCCGTTGCTGGCCCGGCGCTAGAGCCGAGGGTGGGAATCGGCAAAAATCTGTTTAACCACTTTTTCAGCTGCCTGGGCTGACCACTCCAAACCTCGCGGACCGTTAATACTCTGAAGTATATACCTTTATCCTTTAACCCCCCCCCCCCCCCCCCCAACCCTTTCTCGCACGTTAACCAGTCTATTAAGGTAGAGTTTGACCGCGTGAAGATGGCCTATCCACACGAAATATCAGTCCAATCTCGCGAGAACCACTTGAAAAAAAAAAAAAAAAACCCGCGAGAGTGAGAATTTTATCAAACCATCTGGACGAATTCCTGTCATTTTTATGAGAATGACCTTGCAGTAGCCGCGGTGTTCGTAAACTTGCACACCCCACGCGTTCGCACGTCGGTGCGCACTGGTGTTGTGGGTGATAGTTTTAGGTGCGCACCGGTACAGTCGGCCCATCCAAGATTCAAGACAACCAAGAAAGGCGCGCACAAGCTCTTGTACACCGGCATCAAGCCATATGTTAGTATCTCGTGCCGGTAATCTCCGGTTCATTGTGCCGGCCTGACACGGCTGTGCCCAAATGGTATTTATATTTGTAATGAATGGCCCGTCTAACAAGACCGAACAGACCCTCTCGGCGAAAGCCAACTAACACGTGTTCCCCCCCCCCTGCCCTCCGCGACCACCGTAATACGGGAGCCATGAATGACTTCATAAAAATTTCAAGTGACATATCGCACGATCGTCCACTTGCTGAAAATATATGACGTATTGATACTTTTGATATGGCCAGATTTTTAATGCATTCTATGCCAAATATTTAATAAAAAATAAAAAACCTTAACTGATTTAACCATAATTTTTTTTTTATCTGCTTGAGAAAATAATTGAAGTCGTAAAATACCAAAATTATTTTTGATGATTGATGAATGCATAAATTGATAATGACGTCGCTTATTTTCATTATCAAAAAAAAAAAACTACGAAATTTAAGTTTTCGTTGTAAGTCATTGATCTTTAGAAAATAAATCTCCTTGTGGTTAGAAATAGGTTGTTTGCGTGACTTAAAAAACTAGGCGACTGCACTTTATTTTACAAGGATTTTAGATCAATCACCTGTATAGGTGATGGCAGTAGATTTATGCGCAGACGACAATTGCTACTTGCGGACGTCTGGGGAAAGATGAGACTCAAGTAAACGTGGGGTGTTGTTTTTTTCACTGTCTCACACGTTTGGTGTCGGGTAACGTGAACGTTTTGCGTGAGAGGTGAGTACATCAGTAGTGTTGATGTTTTAGGGCTGTATGTTCATGCTAAAATGTGTGTGAGTGGGGCATCCAATAGTATTGATGTTTTAGGGCTGTATTTAAAAGCTAATATGTTCTATCGATGTGTAATTGGTGTCTTTTTGTTTTGATGTTTTAGTGTTATATGTACAAGCTAAAATGTGTGTGAGTGGGGCATTCAATAGTATTGATGTTTTAGGGCTGTATGTTCAAGCTAAAATGTTGTGTTGATGTATGGTAAGTGAGGCTTTGTATTGATGTTTTAGTGCTATATGTACAAGCTAAAATGTGTGTGAGTGGGGCATCCAATAGTTTTGATATTTTAGGGCTGTATGTACAAGCTAAAATGTGTGGTGGGTGACGCTTTGTATTGATGTTTTAGGGCTGTATGTACAAGCTAAAATGTGTGGTGGGTGACGCTTTGTATTGATGTTTTAGGGCTATATGTACACGCTAAAATGTGTGTGAGTGGGGCATCCAATAGTTTTGATGTTTTAAAGCTGTATGTACAAGCTAAAATGTATTGATGTATGGTAAGTGAGGCTTTGTATTGATGTTTTAGTGCTATATGTACAAGCTAAAATTAAGGTTCTTTTGATGTGTAGTGGGTGATGCTTCCAATATTATTGTTACATATACAAAGGTAAATCAATAATAATGTTTAGTTAATTTCTTTATAAATTTGTAATCTAGAATGGTATAGGTAAGTTTGTTTCTTGTTCATCGTAATGAATTAATTTGAAAGACGAAAGCTTTTTAAAATATTTATTTGAAGCCATTCGGTGATAAATTTGTTTACAATAGATGAATGATACTAAACAGTATAACAACATTTAATTAATGTATTTATGTATCGTTGACTGTGAATTGTGATTGATATCGTATATTTATGTTTATTCGATATTATTCATAGTCATTGATGTTTACGATAGATAAAAATCATCGATATTTTGTTGGTTTACCGTTCGCTGTGAATTATAATCGGTATCGAAACCTAGCTACGATTTTCATGTACCGTTTAGTTAATGTCTTGGTAAGTAACAGTGGTAGGAATTAATCTAACAAGAACTAGTATAATAGCATTAAAATAATGTCTATTAGCGGGTATATTCGTCATTTGTAATGCTTGCTATGGTTGTTTACCTTCATTAAAACTATTCTGCCGGTCATTGTATTAACGTGTGTACAATAATTAAAAACCAGAGTCGTAATTTTCTAAAACAGTTAACTAATTGGGTGTATTATTACGTGAAGCTGCTGGCATATTTATATATTAATTAAATTAATTAAATGTACAGGCCAATTTGGTATCTTGCTGCTAACGATGAGAAATACCTTTTGATCCATGTTATGTTTGTGTTAAATTTAAGGTGGAATGTTGTGTTATTGTATATTTGTTACTATCCTTTATGTGTGATTTTAAAAAAAATGTGTAGGCTATAAATAGAATTGATGTATACTTTATATACGTGCGTAGTGTTTGTTTTGTTTTTTTTAACTTGGTTTTCATTTTAAGACGAATTAACATTTAAAATTGGTTTATTGATGTAGTTTTAGATATTAAGCTACTTGTTGATGTTGGTCTGGTTTGTGCATAAGGTAGTAGTGCTCACAGCAGAAGTTTGAAAATGTAGAAATAAATTAGCATAAAAAGACTCACCAGCAGAGCCTGACCCCTCAAGGCCTTCAAAAGTTTTGCTGGTCATAGCCATGAGCGCGTCCAGGGGCGACACTGACGATTTCTTGCTGGTGGGTATCACCTTAGGAGGAGGGTCATCGTCGTCCACAGTGATCTCCTCGTCCTCGTCATCGGACGACGCCTCGCTGGCCGTGAGGATGGCGCCCGCGCAGGGCGTGGAGGAGGTGCGGATAGACACCGGGGAGGTCTCTTCCGGGTCAAGGTTGTCCCAAGGTCGGACAATTTTCGTGGTCAGGTTGACGGGTTTGGTCTGAGGGCTGAGGTGTAACATGCTCCTGTGGGTGAGTTGTTGTAAAGGGGAGGGGAGCCCCGGGAGCATGGACTTACCCCGGCCGTTGATAGGAGACCGGAGGGGCGGGCTGATGGACAGCGCCGCTCTGAAGCTCTCACGGCTGTATTCAGATTTGCAGAGGTTCAGCAGCTGGCCTTCTTTGCCGCTGTAGGAATTCCTACCCCGAGCCACGTTCTGCCCGCTGTTGTTTCTCATGTCAGCGTGCAGCCTGTTTAATTCTGTCGCACGCTGCGCTGTCTTGTGTCTGGGGTGGTGGTTGTCCCGTTGTGGTGTCTGGTGGTTGTGGGGTTTGTGGTGCGCTTGGCTTTGGGTGTTCGAGCGGTCCTCAAACGAGTTGTGTTTATCCTCCGCTCCAGCGTTGGGAGCCCCCAGAATGTCTTTGATGCAGAACGATGTGAAAGGTTTGCAAGGGTTTCGCGGCGGTTGGATTTGAACCATGGCCAGTCGCTTGATGGGCTCGTAGTTGTCTCGACCCTCATCTTCCTCCACCTTGGACATGGTCATTCTAACAGGTACCCAGCTTTAGGGTCTCCAATCCCCGGTCACCTGGAGAAAATCATCGATATCAGAATCAATATACAACAGTGAATCACACATACAAAGAAAACAAATCAGAGAACTTGACAGTCATAAAATTGCTATTTCAAAAAAAAAAAAAATTAAAAAAAAAATTAAAAATTAAAAAAAAGAGGAAAAAGAATAATCTAAGTCTCTGAAGATAGACGTAGGTACGTAATGTAGTCCCAGAAAAAAACAGAGCAGTATATTGCTGGACAAAGATGTGTGCCTTATAACAATGCTTGCTTTCAACCCTTCTTCATAGTTTGTCAATTCAAGCGGAACGTTGTAAACAGATGCAGGTTTGCTTATGCTAATGACAGGTAAGCGGTTTATCTTTGATCACTGGCAGTGCATATTAAGGGTCGTTAGTCTAAATTTAACTCCGAACCTGTATCCACCTAACCTGAAACTTTAAACCTAACATCGATACCGTGTAAAAATAAACTTTTGATTCATATTGTATAACAATCTCCGCAGACATAGATCCAACCAACAAACATCACCTAGATCTAGTGTGTAAGCTAATAATGCATTGTTTGACTACAAAAGGTAAATAATTAATTGACTTCGGTAAAAATTCAGGTCATAATGCGACATAGAAATATAATTAGTCGACCTACGAGTTATTGATGTGTTTTAATCTGTAGACTTTTAAAAGCGTTCAATGCAGTAATGGAAAATTTATAATTAAAAATTGAAATTATTTTTCCTGAATTTATCATAAGTATTCTAATGTATAAACATTTTTTAAAAACTATCTGGGAAAGTTGTTTTTTTTTTTTAAACATAGCTTGCAATAGAAATTATACTAAATGGACAATATAAATTATACAGATTCGACTATTCAGAATTGTGCAACTTCAAAGAGAATTCGCACGAATCTTGTTGGAATTACGGATTAGAATAGTAAATGTAAACAAAGTTAAACCAAATAGTGATTTATCATACAGCTTTAAAGTTGCATCTAAGGAAACCTCAAAATTCCTAATTCCATTTTAACGGTATAGAAATCCTACTGCCCTATGTCTTAAAACTGTAGTGGTGTGATTAAAAAGTCATTACAATAATTAATCTTTGTTCTTAAACATTTAGATTAATGCAGTAGCATGCTGCAGGTAATTTTTTTTTCCAAACTTTTTACTTAATCGGAAAGTCTAAAAGTTAAATATAAACATACACTGGTGCAAATAATGACAGTGAGCTTACAATAACGGTAGGCCTGTATGCTAATAATAGCATAATGTGCATACATGAATACTATGAGCAGATAATAACACAGTTTGCACACAATAATAATGGGCCTATATGCTAACTATAGCACAATGTGCAGACATGAACTATATGTGCAAACAATAACACAGTGATTACAATAACACAGTGTGTATACAATAACACAGTGTGTATACAAGAACACACAGTGTATACAATAACAGTGTGCACAAAATAACACAACGACCAAACTATAACAGAATTTGTAAACATGAATACTATATGTATACATTAACACATTATACAATAACACACAGTGTATACAATAACAGTGTGCATACAATAACACAACGAACAAACTATAACAGATTAGCCAAACAAGAATATTATGTGCAGACAAGCACAATGGGGATCGTTTGTATTTCATAACACCCCCATTTCATTAACACAATTATAATTCGTAATTAAATACTCATCGCTGGGAAATACATTTTTTATGTGTTTTTTTTTTTTTTTTTTTTTTTTTTTTGTCAAGACCTTAATCTAATAGCTGAAAACATGTCACGAAAATACAGAGAGGGGGTGAGGCTGTGGGGGAGGCTGGGGGTGGGGGTCGCTGAGAACACTTGGCACCATAAGACCGGTTTAAACAAAAGGACAACGATGGTTTCTTTTGTTGGGGTGGAGGGGGGGGGGGGCAGTGAGTTTGTTTTAGCTAGATTGTCAGCCTGTTTGTGTTAGCTAGATTTAATATATATATATATATATATATATATATATATATATATATATATATATATATATATATATATATATATATATATATATATATATATATTGAAGTATTGGTTACCCTTATCCTTATATTAAAGAAGACATATAAATTAGCAATAATCATTTACAGAAGTTGTATAAATTAGCAATGCCTATATAAAATAGTTTTTTTAAATTAGCCATACCGATATAAAATAATTGTATAGCTTAGCCGTACACATATAAAGTAGTTGTTCAACTTAGCCATAATCATACAAAAGTAGGTGTGTAAATCAGCTATAACCACATACAGTAGTTATATAAATTAGCCTTACTCGTATAAGTAGTTTTATAAATTAGCCTTACTGTGTTTGCATAAGTTTGCCACATCCATATAAAATATTTATTCCCGAAGGCGGACTGTTGGTAGCCACAATAGTGTTAAGAAAAAAACAACGGAATTTTAGCAAATCAATATTGACTTTTTAAAACTTACATAATTTACTTGATTCGTTTTTTGTTATGAATTAGAAGGTAAATACCAACAACAGATATGCCATCAATGAATATACGAGCAATAACACTTCTTCAACCCCAAGCTTAACTATTAATACTAGCCCTAATCCAAGCCAAACCCAACATATTGAAGCTACCGTTCTCGTGAGCATTAGTGATACAATTTACAAATACGTCAAATGTGTCTGGCTAACCACTATTAAGCTAAACTTTCTTTAAACTAGAGTATTTAACTTTTTTTTTTAAAGTTTAGTTAGCTAATTATGTAAAAAGCAGGTATAAAGTGCATGTTTAAAATTTAACATTAACAAATAAATAAAACAGTTTTGGCGAAAATAAAGCTCCTTGTTTGAGAAAATAATCGATTTAGGTACATACAACTTTTGATCATTAATGTTGTCAACTCTAGCCGCTGTGAACTAGTCAATGAAATATATTAAACTTGTATTTGTCTTAAATAGTTTTACTTATAGCTGTCTTTTGGTTGTGTCTATTTAACAGTATAATACACGTTTAATTTTTTTTTAGCATTTTAAATTGTTTCGTGGATATAGAATGAGATAAAAGTAGCACTATGAAGTTGGTTACTCAAGAATAAATTAAATATCATTCTTCCGATAATTAGTGATTGATTTTATTGACGAAGTTCTTAGACACTGCATGAATTTGATGTGATTCACAAAGTTGTTAATCATAGCATCTATATGATGTGATTGACAATGTTTTTAATCACGGCATCCATTTGATTTGATTGACAAATTTGTTAATGACGTCATCTACATGATTAAATTGACAGTTGTTAATCACGGATTTTATATTAAGTAATTGACAGAGTTGTTAATCACGGATTTTATATTAAGTAATTGACAGAGTTGTTAATCACGGATTTTATATTAAGTAATTGACAGAGTTGTTAATCACGGATTTTATATTAAGTAATTGACAGAGTTGTTAATCATGGATTTTATATTAAGTAATTGACAGAGTTGTTAATCACGGATTTTATATTAAGTAATTGACAGAGTTGTTAATCATGGATTTTATATTAAGTAATTGACAGAGTTGTTAATCACGGATTTTATATTAAGTAATTGACAGAGTTGTTAATCACGGATTTTATATTAAGTAATTGACAGAGTTGTTAATCATGGATTTTATATTAAGTAATTGACAGAGTTGTTAATCACGGATTTTATATTAAGTAATTGACAGAGTTGTTAATCATGACATCTAAATGACGGAATGTCTTGCGGGCGACACATTCGACAACAGACGTATTTATCAAATTAAGATTGAACTCCTTCAAGTGGTAATGCATGCCACGTCAATCACATAACCGTTTGATGAGGAGTGGGGTGTAGAGGTAAGAGATGGGGAGGGTGGGGGCGTATGTCGATGTAAGGTAAGCTATTGGTGACGTCACCCTGTCGTATGAAACTGACGGCGTAAGACGGCGAAGTATGTGAGTTATTCGTCCCTGATTGATAGCTGCGGTCAGCTCATTGATCAGGTAATCATCTCATCGGGATTTACATCTTAATCACTGCCTCGATACGCCGGTCATATATATATATATATATATATATATATATATATATATATATATATATATATATATATATATATATATATATATATATATATATATATGTATATAAGTTATTACCGTCCATCTTAAAGTAAAATAATAAATGCGATATGTAAAATTAATATTGCAACTAACTTGTTACATTTTGCATAACAAAGAAAACTACTAAGCTTTTGTTTTATTAATTACCACTGTGTTTGTATGTATGATAAACTAATCACAATAAAAGAGTGTGTACAGTCTTATACAGGAGTCGGCGGCTTATGTATCCTATGTTTTTATTGATGACGAAATGCGCATCTTCAAGTTAAGTGTAATTAAGAAAATGACTTGTACGTAAGAAAGGTAAGTGTGAACTCTAATTATTGTGTAATTTTTTAACAACTTTAATTATCAAATCAAATGCTTAATTAAGAGCTGGTTTAGAACATTACTTATCAAAAGATATAATGTAGATCTGCACAACAGCGCGTTTTAAAAATAGTTTAAAATAGTCATCGGAAATACGATTCGTTCAAAACTTTTTAGGTAGGTCGGTTATTGTTTAATAAAGGTTGAGAAATATTCATTATAAATAGGCATACTAGCGACACTACTATTTTATTGTATTGGTCAAATAGACAACAGCAAACTTGGAATTAAACGTAACAATGACTACAGGCTTAATAGAGACGTAGAGTGAATGGCGTTATTAATATATAGGCCTAATTATTTTAAAATTAATTCAAGGCATTATAATATAAGCACAAAAAGGCCTAATAGACAACAGCAAACTTGGAATTAAACCTAACAATGACTACAGACTTAACAGAGACGTAGAATAAAAGGCTTTACCAGTTTTTTAAATTGTTTTTAAAATAAATCCAAGAAATTAAAAATGCAAACACAACAAGGTGATCCTGTGTAGTA